CGTATTTATCACTGAATGTTCAAGTCACAAAGTCATTGAAGTGTAAAGTAGGGAAGGGATGCACGCTTTTCACATTTGTGAATTGAGCCTGATGTTTTGCTTCATTTTCAAGCAATTAAAGCTACTTGTCTGATGTGAAACAAATTTGTATTTTTGGTCTGGTGGCCAAACCAAGCAAATATGTGCACAAGTCTCTAGAAGTTGCTGAGCAGGTTAAAGAGTTAACAGGTTTTAAGTGAGCTAAAAATTTCCCCTTCCCCAATTGTGTGACTGGTTTGGTTCATTAGGCATCTCTAAAAGGTAAGATTAGACAATCCTGAATATATTGTGTGAAAGTGTATTCTGTGGGAGCCAGGAAAGGACTTTCACTTTTCTTTGAGGCAATAAGGCATAAACCCAGTTCTCTTTTGCAGGGAGACCAGCAGCTAGTACAGCTTTCTAGTCCTCCTGAAACTCGTCTGTATTTGAGCAGTCAAAGCAATGTCAAATTACATTTCCAGTTGCTTTCTTTGATTCACTGTGGTCTGATCTGTACCTGTAGGAAGGAGGTCTGTAAAGTTCCTTTAATGAACAGGAAGAGTTTTATTCACTTTGCAAAGCAAATTTCTGGGAACGGCTCCTGTATGCAGCCCATTCTTTTATGAAGAAAAGTTTTGCAGATAGTGGACTTCCCTGTCCCTTAACTGTGGTTCAGAGGGTGCTCTTGGAAAATTCCTTGCCTATTAGAAATAGTAAGCTATCTAGTTCTTGTTTTTAATCTGCTCTACTGTTTTTGTATTGCACACAGGCTGCGCTAAAAGTATCAATCTTCTGTTGATAAGTTTGCTCTTTGTACACTGCAGCCCACTGACTAAACTCTACAGGAGAACCAGTGGATGCTAGAAGGTAGAGCACTTCAGCGGTGAACTCGGAGAGAGAGGACAGATGTGCTCCCTTGCTTATTTGGCTTTTGGCAGTGATATTTCACAGAGGCTGCAGAGAGGAGGATACATGGGTATATCTCAGCCCTGCTGAAGAGGGGGTCTGTTCTTCACCCATATGAAACTGCAGATTTTCAATTAATAGGGGAAAGGTCAGGTAAAAATGTCACGGGTCAAACCATCAGAACTCTTGGGGAGGCAATATCCTTTATTAAACCAACTAGATAGTTGCAAAAAAATCCTTTGTTTGCAAGCATATAAACAGGTCAAAGGATAGCATTCTGCAGCATAAAGCTTCACTGGGGCTTGGGGACCAGGGGCAAAGCAGGACAGTAACATCAGTAGAGTACTGGAGAAAAGACTGATGCTGGAGGGAGTGGGGGAGTGAGGAAGGAAAGCCAAAAAATTATGCGAAGGGAACATTTAAATGACAGGAAGCATCACTGAAGAGGTGTCAAAAGAGCAGAGTCTTTATAGGAAGAGGCAAGACAGGATAAAAAAGGCTTAGTTTGAGAGAGTTTTGCTGCTCCTTGTTTCATTCTGATTCTGAGTTGACAACTCCTGGACCTGGCACAAGGCCTGTGGTCCACTATTCTACAGTGGAGGTGGTGATCTCCTTTTTATATTGATATCTACAAGTACTCTAAACCTTCAGCAAACTAGTACCAACTAGTTGGCTGTATGTCTGATGGAAATGAGCTGTAGATCCTGATGTTTGATACATTGGACAAAGTTGCTTGCTTGCCTTTTTTTTAACCTGAACTTAAAGGAAGAATTAAACTGCTTTTAACATACTGCATGTGCTTCATTCCCCTTGTCCATCTTTTGCTTTTTTTTCAGCATTATTCTCCCTGTTGCTGCAATTTAACTAGTTAATTCTAAAATTGTAGGTAGGACTCCAGTAGGTTGTATATTGTATTGTATACTGTGTTCTAAAACTGATATTTAGAAGTTTGTTTGGTTTTTTTGCTTGCTTCTTTACGCAATGCATAGTTAACTTTGTAGAATTCATTGCCAGAGGAGGTGGTAGCAGCGGTGGGCAAAATGTGGCCCGTGGGCCAGTTGCGGCCTGCCAGGCCATTCTGTCTGGCCCATGGGGCCCCTAAAAATTTAAAAAATTAGTATTTATCTGCTCCTGGCTGCCTGTCGTACGGCCCTTGATGGCTTGCCAAAACTCAATAAGTGACTCTCTGCCCAAAATAATTGCCCGCCCCTGTGGTAGAGAGCAGCCAGGTTCAAAAAGGGCAATTTTTTTTAATAAAGTTTGATAGAATTATGCCTAAGGTGTGTGGTGTATTTTGTATTTCTTTTTTAAAAGAATAAACTTAACTTGAATGTAATTTGTTGCATGGCTGATATCCATCTTAGCTGAAGACTTAGTCTGATATGATATCGTACTATTAAGAACAATGGTTCATACACACAACCTAATTTTCTGTTTTTACAGATAACAGCACACACTTCTGGGACACGGATGTAAAGTGGTTTTCATTACTGGAGAGCACAAACTGGCTAGAAATCATTAGGTTTGTTAAAATATTTGGACTCCATCTTTGCTAAATCTGTCTCTGTTTTCTAGCTGTGGATAACCAGTTTTAAACAGCTGAAATTGTTCATATGAAAAGGGCTTCTTAATATTTCAGTTGAAATGCTGTTTCAGGAGTCTGGGATATGTAGATGGAGTTTGACCTACATGTATGTTTTCATGATGAAATGTTATCAGAAAACTTAGAGTTCACCTTCTATGTTCCATACTGGATAAACAGCGCACTGCAAAAAAACCCAACCAAGCAAAAACCAAATAGTATGGGAGGGTAAAGGGAGGGGCCATGGTATTAAACAAACAACAGAGAAGTTTTGTTGGTTTTTTCTCTTGCTATAGATGATTTTTCTATAATAAAGAAACATGGAGATTGGGGAGGGTAGAGTTATACCCTGTGCTTCATCAGATGCACCTCTATCTTATGAATGCCTCGGAGTAATGAATACCATATGTACTCGGATG